GTTTTTCGATAAAAAAGCATTAATATTTAAAACAGGATAAAACAGGTTAATATTTAAAATAATATTTCAAAATCTTTTTGAAGTTTTGATTATTGAGTAAGTTGTTTTAAACCGTTTCTTGTTCAGATAAATCATAATAATATTTCGTTAAAAGTTGAGAATCAGTGGTGTAATCACTGATGCACTAATATTTATTATATCAATATTTGTCGCATATCTGATGTTGATCCACCATTTCAATGTTTGTGAATAAATATATTAGTTACAATATTCTGTAACATATAATATACTATGTTACAATACACTATGCAAATCTTAAAAATACATAATTAGATCCATTTAGATAACCGTCTGTAGCTTCATTTTCAACGTTAAGTAATCCCTACCGTTGGCAAAACAATAGAAAACTGAAGGCTTCGGATAAAAAGAAATTTTTATTTAATGGATTAATTCATTTAAAATGATCATTAAAATATATTACAAAAATATTACTAGTTTATATAATATTATTAATTTTCACTGGAAATTATCACAAATTTACTAATATGTGTCTTGATAAATTTTGTAGTATATTTTCAATCTTTCAACGAGATTTTAATAAGGAATGTATCATATTGTTTCCCTACACTACCGAATATCACTATTTTGTGTCATACGAATATTTACAATATATTGTCAACAACTTTTTCGATATAAACATATTGTATCCGTTATAATGTCCCGTGTACTATTATTGTTTAAATATCTATATCTAATCCATATAAATATTTCTGTGACACTAGCTGAGTTGTCCAGTTTCGCGCATTACTCTGAAGTAAATATCACAAACAGTATTCATATAAATAATAATTAATAATACTTATAACGATGAACAACAGAAAAGTAATAATTTTTGCTGGGCCATACACAGAAGACAAATACAACCAATTTTTCAATCCAAACGTTTGTCATGTTTGCAAAAATCCCAGCAGATACTTGATAACGTGTAATCTCTGTAATTTGATATCTTACTGTTCAGAGGAGCATAAGGAGATACACAGAATCTTGCACTCGGAATTCTGCATAGCTGTGGCAAGGATAATAACAGAAAAATCTTTCTCGGATACGTATCCTAGCTTGGAACATTGGATAGCATCACGGGACGATATTTTACAACGAATACAGCCTAATTTGTCACGTTACGTATACCAATACGAAAAAGAGATGATATTATGTGCAAAGACGTGTTATGTATGTTACCGACAGATAAACGTAAGTCCTTGCAACATTTGCTATTCAGCCAATTTTTGTAATGATCACCAAATACTATGTAGTGTATGGAAAGGACATGGGAAAGAGTGCGTTGAGCTGTTGGTATTACTGAACATGAATATAAGTGATATTATCAACGACAAAATAGAGACATGGATTAATCAAAATAGGAAATTCTCCAAATTCCCTTATAGTAAAGATTTTCATGACAATATTACATTTATTAATAGCTATGTACTCAGTAGAGATCCATATACTCATCGTAAGATGTTAGATGATCCTAATTCAACTCTTGCCTGGACATTCGAGCAATATGTATATTCTGATGCTATATCCAATCCGCTAACATTATTCTACGCGTTGAAAGAATCAAATATATTATATGATACAATGAAGACAGATAAATACATTGTTCATCTTATAGACGCAAACAGAAAAGATGTAATATCTTTGCAAACTTGGCATATTTTCTTACATTTCTCTAGAAGAATAAAGGAATTGCATATTGTACTTATAAAATCGCCAATTTTCGAATCGCGCGATCTAGGGTCTGTTTGTTCAACGTGCCGTACATATGGACAGAAACTTTATGTTAAAAATGTATCAGAAACGTACTACACGTATGTACGCTCAGAGTCATATGAGCCACCAAATGTGATTATACTTCAAACACGAATTAGTTCCATGGGAACATGGCTTGGATCTATAACAGCAATAATAGCCCAGAGGCGCCCATTACTTTTAACCGCTGACACGGAAATGACAGTGAAAGGAAATATAAATAAAATAGAAGAGGTAACAGGCGAAACTAAAAAACGCTTGTACAGAAAAAATAAATTCCGCGGGTGTAGGCCATATAGAAACTATGTAACTGGAGGATGTTGTTACCGAAATGCGTATTTTATTATGTATTTTTGAATTTAAATTACATGACCGACCCAGTCAAATGTTGAAGGTAATATATTATTTGATGCTATCTTCATTTTGATATAGTTGATGATACACAATTTTTAATAATATTCGAAAATATATAAGAAATTTTTTACTGGGGTATATATTCAAGCGTAAACAGTATTTTGTTTCTCATATTTTCAAAATATACAATAGCATTATTGTCTTACTATTATTGTTTATACATCTATATATAACTCGCAAACAAGTTTCTGTTATATTCTGTGAGTTACCGAGCTTTGCGCGTTATATCGAAATAAATGTTGCTAATAACATACTCATGAACGTCATTACTAAGCCATGTCGCGACGAGTATAGGCGAAATAATAACTCTTGATAATCCATACACAGAATATAAATATAATCAGTTTTTCCATCCAAACGTTTGTCATGTTTGCAAACTGCCCAGCACAAATTTGATAACTTTGTTTTCAATGATTTCTTTTTGTTACAAGAAGCATGAAAAGATACATGGAAGCTCACCCCTGGAACTCTGCAGCGACCTAGCAAGTATCATACTTGACAAATCGAATTGGAATATACATCATATTTGGGAAGAATAGAGAGAAGCACGGAAGGAAATTTTAATAATTTAAATCTGTCAGGTATACATCCGTACGTAATAGATGTGACATTATGCGCAAAATAGTATTATAAGGGTCGCCGATG